CTGAATCAGTTCTTTTTTTTTTTTTTTTTTTTTTTGAGACGGAGTTTTGCTCTTGTCACTCAGGCTGGAGTGCAATGGCATGATCTTAGCTCACTACTCAGCCTCCCAGGTTCAAGTAATTCTCCTGCCTCAGCCTCCCAAGAAGCTGGGATTACAGGCACCCGCCACCATGCCCAACTAATTTTTATATTTTCAGTAGAGATGGGGGTTTTGCCATGTTGGCCAGGCTGGTCTTGAACCTTAGGTGATCCACCCACCTCAGCCTCCCAAAGTGCTGGCTAAATCAAGTCTTGATGTTGAGAATCCACCAGGGTGAGGTTGGTGGGGAAAGGAGAAGCCTATTGCCCTGGCCCCAGTGACTCCAAGCCAGCTCCATCTCTGGCACCCTGGGTGGGGCTTCGCCCCCTGGATCAGCTTGGGACGGCAGCGCTCCCAGCAGGACTCACTCCTCAATGTCGATGTCATTACTGCTGGTCAGTCATGGCCGTCAGGACAGGCAGCATTGAGGCCAGGATAAGGCAGCTACGCAGGGCTGCCATGAAGCCCAGGAGAGAAGAGGATGTGTGTGAAGTGCTCAACATGGTGGATTCTGGGGGTGACAGGCAGGCTGGCCCAAGGCCCCGGGAGGGAGAACTGGTCCCACAACCTTGTGAAACAAGGGAGGACCTTATTGCTGTGCTTGCCTGATTACCCTGGGAAGGAGGGACCAAGGGACCAGCCAGAGGCCAGTGGGAGAGGAACCATCAGGGTTTCCCCAGAAGTTATCCCAGTGGGTCCACCTGTGACCCTTGTACTTTGAGGTCACCTGAGCCTCAGAGGTGAGGCACCTGCCCCTACTTGTGCCAAGTGTTGCACAGAGAAGGAGAGGAGGTTCTTGGCCCAAGGATTCCAGACCAGTGGCCAGCCTCGTGGCCATGCGATCTGAGCACCGGGCTGCCTGCTGCCCTGCTCACGGGAGCCCCACCCCGGCCTCTGAGGAAGGGACCGCAAGACCAGACATACAAGGGAGAAGCTCAAGCAGAACTCAAGGGATGGAAGGCTACTAATAGTTGTGTTTTCAAAGAACATTTAATCAGAGGAACTTTCAAAATGTTTCATACATTGAATAGATCCGATCACCAAGCAGTGCATAGAATAGGATCCTAACTTTGTAAAATATCTATATGTCATATATAAAGACGAATGTGTATGTGCCAAGAAAAAAGACTGGAGAAGGAATTATGAACAGTGGTTATCTCTGTGGTTAATTTTGGGTGGTTGTATTCTGGTTTTTGTTATTTTCAAAATTTTCCCCAGCACACAGATAACATTTTCTTATGTGAGAAAAAACATTTTTAAAAAAGCAGGGGATGGAGAGCGGCAACTGTTTACTGAAGACTTCTCAGTAAGGAAAGGAACCTGGGGTAGAAAGCTCCCCCTTCAGCTGCCCATGAGGGCACAGGTGGGCCCCACACTCAGTATAGGGCCAGGTCAGGGCATAGGGCCAGGTCAGGGCCACAATACCTGCCACTTCCTCAGCGGAGACCCTAGCGCAGGTCACTGTTGGCCCAGACTCCTTCCACAAGCAGGCGAGGGTGCAGGGCCACACCTCATCCAAGAGATGACCACGTTTAGGTTTTTTGAAGAAAAGCACAGCTCTCAGGTAAATACAGCAGCACCTCCAAGCACATTCTGGGAGGAGTGGGTTTTATGAGGAAGGCACACAAGGCAGGCCCAAATTTGCAAGTCCCTTTAAAATGAGCCTGCTCAGAAGTGCTGTTTATTCCACAGGTCTGCGCAGGCATGGCACTAAGGGTCCCGTGGCACATTTGGCCCTCATGGAGGCCTCAAAAGGGCAGGACTAGCACCCTCTTCTACAGAGTGTGAGGAAGGAGCAGGCGCAGCAGGTACATGATGTCAAATTAAGAAGAGGCAGAGGCCAGGTGCAGTGGCTCATGCCTGTAATCCTCGCACTTTGGGAGACTGAGGCAGGAGGATTGCTTGAGCTCAGGAGTTCAAGACTGGCCTGGGCAAAGTTAAAGACTGGCCTGGGCAACATAGTGAGACCTGGTTTCTGCAAAAAATATAAAAATTAACTGGGTGTGGTGGTGTGTCGACTCGGACTGAGGTGGGAGGATTGCTTGAGCCCAGCAGATTGAGGCTGCAGTGAGCCATGATACTGCCACTGCACTCCAGCCTGGATGACAAAGCAAGACCCTGTCTTAAAAAAAAAAAAAAAAGAAGGCAGCCAGGACTTGATGCCAGGTTGACTTGGCTCCAAAACCTGCCCTCTCCTTTTCACAGCCTCCTTTCCTGTGAAGTAATAAGGAATTTCTCTAAAGCACATCGCCCAGGTCCCTATTTAAAGATAAAGAAACAGGACTTTGTGTGCTCACCTGGCATTAGGGCCAGCACTGTGCTGCAGTTGTGAAGATGGCCACTGGGTTGGGGGGTTGTTCTGCACCGAATGGCCCAGACTCCCTGTCAGTGGCTGCTTGTTGCAGCCAGTAGGCCTGAGTTGACCACCCTTATTTATGCTCCTGATCTGCAGCCTTGAATGCATCCTTGGCTGTGGGAGGCAACCAGGCCAGAAGACGACCTTGGTAGCTGAGCACTGACCCCTCATCAGCTGTGTGTCCATACGACCTCCTCCCTTTCTGAGGCCTTCTCTATGTGATGTCATTTGGTGGCTATCTGGGTGGCTAAAGTTACTAGAAGTCTGGCCACCAGGAAGGCCATGACTGTCATACTTTGTGCTTTGCTGCGTAAAATGGGAGTCTCATCGTGCTCCTCAGGCCTACTCTGCACACCTGATGGGCATGGCAGCATTTGTGTCTTGAAAACATGCATTTCACAAACTCCTAGCACACCCAAACCATGCCAGGTTACACACTGGGCACTGAAGAGACCACACATTTGTCAGTTTCTTTTTTTTTTTTTTTTTTTTTTTTTGAGACAGAGTCTTGCTCTGTTGCCCAGGCTGGAGTGCAGTGGCGCGATCTCGGCTCACTGCAAGCTCCGCCTCCCGGGTTCACGCCATTCTCCTGCCTCAGCCTCCCGAGTAGCTGGGACTACAGGCGCCTGCCACCACACCCGGCTAATTTTTTTTTTTGGTCTTTTTTTAGTAGAGACGGGGTTTCACTGTGTTAGCCAGGATGGTCTTGATCTCCTGACCTCATGATCCGCCCGCCTCGGCCTCCCAAAGTGCTGGGATTACAGGCGTGAGCCACCGCGCCCGGCCACGTTTGTCAGTTTCAAAAACTCTACTGCCCAGTATTGGAAGAAGAGAGCTGTTAAATCAGGGCCTGCAGTGGCAGATAGGCCCCAAGTCCTATGGCAGCTGGGGACTCAGGCCATGTCTCAAGCTTGGGAGAAGGTCATGGGGGCAGATGGGTTCTCTGGGTTGGAAGAGCCTCTGGAATGAAAGAGTCCTATGTCCTCATGTCGCAGGTGAGAAACTGAAGTGTGAATAAGAAAGGGAACACCAAGTCAGTGCCTGAGTTGGAACTAGAATACCTGTCTCCTGACACTCAGGCCATTGCCTCTTCCAATCCCTGCTAGCTGAGCTTGAAGTCCTAGACTAATGGGGAACTCACCATCTTCCAGACAGCCTGGGCCCACCCTTTATGTACATGGGAAGGTCTCTTCCTCTGCGCTTGCACGCGGAGGCCCTCCCTGGTCCAGGTGGAGGGGCTGCTGTCCTGCAGCATGGCGCCAGCCTCCACCCCTGCTGCCAGACCAGCTCTCCCCAGGCCCCTCCCTGGGGGTGCAGCATGTGAACTCCAGAGAGGCGCATCCTTGGGCACATGGGGAGGTGGAGCCACCCCGCCGGGCTGTGCCTGTGGATGGGGTGGACCCAGGATCTGCTTTTAATGACACGGTTTGGGCAGCTGGACTCTGTCTATTCCAGCAGGTAAATTACAGGCTTAGCAAGTCAGAAATCAAATAAACACTCCAACTCCCAGTGGCTGCTCCAAGGAGAACAGCGGTTTCCGGGAACAACAGAGGCTGAGACAAACCTCCCCACCCAACTCAGCCTAATTACTGCCTGTCACTCCCTGGGACAGGGACCTTTTCTTTGACTCACAGGCCCAAGACAGGACAGCGCTGGTGGGCACCCAAGGTGACGCCAATTTTGGTGGCCAGCTTGTTCGTAACTCGTAGACACAAGCAAACACTGGCAGTCCCCACCCTTGCCCCATGCCCGGCCAGAGACCGCCAGTCACCCTGCTCTGGATGGAATGGATTGCTCTGCAGTGGGGCAGGAGCAGGAACTGAGGTCTCATTGACAATGCCTGGTGGTGGCTGTCTGCAGTTCTGTGCTGAGGCCCGAGGCCCTGTCCAGGTTCAGTGGAAAAGGTACATAGGTTGATTACTGACGTGAGCCATGGGCAAGGGGAGTAGGCTGCGGGGGCATCTGCTCTCTGCCAGCCTAGACCACACATTGGAGCTACTGGTCTTGTCTCTGTCTCAGTGCTGAGCCCCAAATAGGTCAGTGTGGTAGAGATGGTGGAGGGAACTGGAAGCCCACAGGATTCTTTGCTCCTCTGGGAGTCATACCTCTTTCCTAGGCAGGAAACGGGGCAGGCCCAGGGCAAGGGAACATACATGACATAAAATATCCCCAGTGGTCAGGCACGGTGGCTCACGCCTGTAATCCCAGCACTTTGGGAGCCCAGGCGGACGGATCACTTGAGGTCAGGAGTTCAAGACCAGCGTGGCCAATATGGTAAAACCCTGTCTCTACTAAAAATACAAAAATGAGCCGGGCATGGTGGCGGGCTCCTGTAATTCCAGCTACTCAGGAGGCTGAGGCACGAGAATTGCTTGAACCTGGGAGGCAGAGGTTGCAGTGAGCCGGGATTGCACCACTGTACCCCAGCCTGGGCAACAGAGTGAGACTCCGTCTCCAAAAAAAAAAAAAAAAAAATCCCCAGTGGCTTTGTGGAGATGTCCAGCTTATTCTTTTTCTAATATGCTAACTGCACCCTGGACCAAATGAGAAGAATCCCAGAACACACTGCTGAGAACATGAGCGTGTCCAATTATGCCCAGAAATGGCCAGTATTGTACCTGGGAAGGGGCAGAGCCCTTCTCCCCACACCTAAACCCTCTGGTGAATGGAGAAAAGCTCGGGTCAGCCAACCTCAGACCATCCAGGGCCAGCCACAGTCTGACAGGTCCTAAGATAGGACTTCTGTGCTGACTCCAAACAGTGCAGTCAGCACGGGCTCTGAAGCTGCCGTGTGCCTTAGGCCACCAAAGTGTTGGACAGGGTGACAGCCACAAACCCCAGGGAGGGGCACAGAGGGACATAGAAAGGACCAGAAGCAGCCTGACAGGAAGTAGGCACAGAGAGTGAGGGCCCCTGACACTCCTGCTTGAGCTGTGACAGCATTTAAGGGTTTTCTGCCTCTGCGGGGCCCGATCCGGATGAGAAGGGCGGCTGCAGCAGGGCCGGGCAGGCGGGTGGGCTCAGTGGCAGCCGCAGGCCTTGACCACCATGTTGCGGTGCTTGCGCAGGATGACGTTGTTGCTGCTGTCATAGTAGAGCACAGAGGTGGCGCTTAGCTTGGTGGGCGCGCAGCATGCCTTGGGGACCGCGTCTGGCTTCATCAGGTGCACCTGGCCAGGGAGGGGGGTACAGGCAGGGGCATAAGCCCAGTAGCCTCCTCCGAGGACCCACCCAGTCCTGCCCCAGCTCCACCCGCTCCCCGCCCTGGCCATCTCCAAGCCACATGGGAGCAGCACAATAATAAGAAATATTAACAGGAATAAGAGCAGCCTTGAGGGCTCTGGGGGCAGGAGCCGTAGTGACCTGCAGTGCCCAGGGAGGGACACATGGCAGCCCCGGGGGGTGGGGCAAGTGGGCAGGGCACTAATGAGGGGCCTCAAGTCCCAGGCCAAGGGCTTAGACTTCCTCCTGGGGATAATGGGAAGGAGAACCTCATGGCCAGGTTTGTGCCTTAGTGAGGTCCCCAAGGGGGAGCCTGGAAGGACCACTTTTTTCTTTTGGCCCTTCGGACCCCCAGAGGCTCTGCCTCCCCACACCCCAGCCTCCCTCCCCAGGCTCTGGGAGGCCAAGCCTTAGCCCCTCTCCTGTGCTGCTCCTTCCCCCAGAGACCCGCATCTGCCCTCAGCACTTCAGGGCCCTGCATGTGCCCGCACCTCTCCACTCCCCGGGCTCAGCTTGGACCTCTCTTCTGAACATCAGACTTGCGGATCCTGCTCCCCTCTCCGCTTCTGCACTTGGGGTCTAATGGGGCCTCAGCAGAACACGGAGTTCCTCCTGCCCTTACATCATAGCCCCCACCCGGGAGGCCTCCTGGATGACTCCTCTCGCCTTCTCCCTTCCCTGGGAGCAGCCCCTGGCTCAACCTCCACCTCCATGCTGCCTCGGACCACCTGCCCCGTCCAGCTGCCATCACCTGCCAGGTGACCACAGCAGCCCTCACTCGTCCCCTGCTCCTCTGCCTTCCACTACCCCCACCATCAGCCTCCCTAAGCCAGAAAGGTCGTTCTGGAGGGTGACGCGGACCAGGTCACTGCTTTGTTAAACACCTCTGACAGCCTGTCGGGTTGCTTGGAATAAAATCCACCCTCATTCCCAGGGACCCCCAGGTCCTAGGGGAGACAGCCCTGCCTACTCCTGGCATCACCTCCCTCCGCTCTCCTCGCCTTCACTGCACCCAGCCCCTCCTCCCTGCTAACCCTGAACTTGGGGCCAACTTGCTACTGTCTTAGGGCCTTGCAGTTGCTCCTTCTGATGGAACATTCCTCCTCCAGCTGCTGACGTGCCCCTCCTTGTGCGGAGAGGCTGGGCCCAGTCTCACTCCACTGATGGCGCAGCCGCTCTGCTCTTCCTCACAGGAGGCGTCAGCTCCATGGTTGGTTTGCTTCTGTGCCCGCTGACAGCCTCCCCTAGAGCACAGCGCCTGTCTGTTTGCTGCCCAGCAGGCTGTGAGCGCTCACTTTAGTTGAGCCCCTGAGGGGCCAGGGTAGAGAGGATGGAGTCTGGGAGCTGCAGGTGCAGTCACCTTCCCGTGTGCCTCCCACACATGCAGCTGTGAGAACCACACAGCATAAAGGGTGGCTGGGCTGGGCCGCCCCACGCGTCCTCATCACCCCTGGGCCTTTCCAAGGAGGTGGCTCCAGGTATCCAGCAAATGCCATTTGACTGCCCAGAAAGGAAGCATTATCATAGGCTCAGAGCAGCTTTTGGTAATTTCTTTCCTCTCACACCAAGGCATTGCATGCACACGTGTGTGTGTGTGTGTGTGTGTGTGTTTTAATTTTTATTTTAGAGACAGGGTTTCGCCATGTTGCCCAGGCTTGTCTCGAACTTCTGGGCTCATGTGCTGCGATTACAGGATAAGCCACCACACCTGATCAAGGCATCACCGTTGAACCTCCTAAGAGGAAAACATAAGGCTGTGGAATACCAGGAACTGGAATTCTAGGTAAAAAGTTCTAGAAGGAAGCCTCGGTGCCAGAATCTGCAAACACACAGAGCACTCCGCAGTGAGCAGCACCAGTGATCCCATCAGAAGCCTGCTTTCATCTTTGAAGGTTGCCCCAGACAACAAGGCATCAAAAGCCAGGGGATCCAGAGAAAACACAAATGACCAAGAGAGAAACTGGGGGAAAAGCCAAAAGGTTGAGAGCCAAACCGTCTAGATGCTTCCTGCCTGCGGTGTGGCACAGGTGGGTGTGTGCACACACACGTCCCGCACACTGTACGCACATATCATAGGGGGACAGACCTGCTAGTGTACTCAGGGGCCCGTGTGTTAAGATCACACAGCCCCCACACAGTCTATTTCATGTGCTGTGCCTCTGTCTGGGCACCACACGCAGGTGCGTTAAATGTCCCACAGGAGCATGTGCGATGCATAGAACAGGCACGTGTATACGACTGTTCAGTGTCAGTGTGGAGTGTGTCCGTGTTCAGGTGTGAGTCTATGTGTGCTAGTGTGGTTGTATGAGGACCAGTTCCTGCAGAGCTGCGGGAAGTTAGCAACGTTACTGACTGTGCAGAGAAAGCTCCCTGAGACATGGAGCAGGTGGCCTTGCTATCCTCCCGGCTGGCTGGACCAGACCCCTCTCTGCAGGGCCCCCCATCCCAGGGGGCTGGGCAGGATGGACATGGTACTGACCAGGGACTGCAGGATGGCGTGGTTGGTGGCGTTCATGCAGGAGTCCAGCGGGAAGGAGCACTCCCCCTCACAGTAATAGGCTGAGTAGCCTTGGGGGGCGATGACCCAGTCCTAGGGGACATGGGAGAAGGTGAGTCCCATCCATGTGCCCCTCCCTGAGCCTCAGGGCTCAAACCCACCCTCCACCCCTGCAGGGCAGTCTCCCCCAAGAGGCTTGAATCCACCCAGGAACCCCCAGCAGACAAGGCTGGGCAGGAGCTCAGGCGCAACACCCCCCATCCTCACTCTGCGTCTTCTCCCCAGCCAGCTCTCCCTGCCCACGCCTCCCAGAGCTGCAGTCACAGCCCATGCAGGGAGGTCTCAGTTACCCTGTGGCAATGCTGACGGCTTAGTTGATTCAGTCTTCATTTTCATGGTTAAAAAAAAAACCCTTTCTCACCATATTCTTACTTTAGAAAACTTGGAAAACACAGAAGAAAAAAATACCTAAGAAAATTGAAGTCACTCATGATTCTATGTCCTCCCTACAGATTCACTTCTGATCTACAGGTGGTGATTGTCATTTCAGAAACAAGGAGAGTCAGCAATTACCAGCCAGCCAAGGTCCTGGAAGCTGACGTAGAGCTCGTGCCGACGGCAGACCTGCCGCCCGTGGGAGCCGTGGACGTCATCTGCAGGGACAGAAGGGCAAGGTCTTTTCTGGGGTTCCTGCTCTGTGCAGCTACTACAGGGTACCAGGGTGGGAGATGCCCTGATGAGCACATTTGTCAAATGAATGACAGGAAACCATTTGGTCTCATAAAGCCCATCCCTGAAACTCTGCTTGTACCGTGACCCAGCTGAAGAGCCTGCCATGGCTCCCGACGGCTAGAGTGACACTGTGCTCAGCACTCCCCTGTCCTTCAGCCTGTGAGCGTCTGGACGCGCCAGGAAACAGCCCAGCAGGACCCTCGGCCATCCTGTGCCGCCTCCTCTCTAGAGACCCCTGTGACTCCAGCCCACCCTCTGCTGCCACACCCATTCCTCAGGTTCAAGTGGCTCATGACCAGGCCAGTCAGGGGCCGACTCCCTGGGAAGGAGGGCACAGGGTCGGGTCAGGCCTGTCCCCGATCCTGAAGGGCTTGGCCCAGTTGGGGAGAAAACTTCACATAAGCAGCCGAGGATGCTGCGGGGTGCCCAGGCACAACCGCGGGTCACGAGGGGCTGCGGCTCCCAGGGAAGGGGCAGCTCATTCTGATGGAGGCTCCTGGGAAAGACCTGGAGGAGCCAGGGGGAGAGAGGGGCCTTCTGGGTGGCAGGGACAGCCAGGACAGGCCTCTGGAGTGCCGGTCGCCAGGGTGCATCAGGGCAAAAGATGGGGTCAGGAAAGGTGGCTGGAGAGTGGCCGTCAGCTTGAACTGACCTGAGCCTGAGGGCTCTGGGCCACCACTTGGTTCTCACCCTGCCTCTCTCAACTGGAAGCCCGCAGGGCCTCGGCCCCACCCCGCCCAGCCCTCACCAAAGATCCCTGGGAGTCGGTTGGCCTGCGGCAGCTCGTTGGTTTTCTTCGGCTGCCTCCTTCTCAGTGGCCTCACTGCCCGAGGGGTGCGGATGGGACTCGGACTGGCCCTGAAGAAAGTAACCACGAAAGGCTGTCGGGAGCGCGGGGCCCGTTGACCCAGCAGGCCGGCCAGGCCAGGATCCACGCTGTGCCCTGCGACAGAAAGGAGAGAGGGGTCACTCGCGGGCAGTGGCCCTGCAGCGGACACAGCAGGGATCTCTCTGCCGGGGCCTGGGCAGGTCCAGGAGCGTGAAGGCTGAGGACCCGAGGGTCCCTGCTGAGCCTCAGTTTCCACATCTGAAGCCTGGAGTCCTTGGTCCAGCCCCAGCCAGTCCACATCTCTCAAGTTTGAAGATTTTTCCCATGGATGACCTCATTGGGTCCTTACAGTAATCCTGCAGCTCCTTCTTCACAGGAGACGCAGAGTCCTACTGCCAGTGACTTCGAGAACCAGCGCTCCCACCTCAGTCCAAGGACCCCGAGGCCTGTGTTCTGTCTTCCATCCCGCACTTTCTGGGGTGTGAATGTCGAATTTATCACCGAGACAGCTTGTGGCAGCATCTGCCAAGTTTAGTGAGTGCTTCTCTGCTGGGCACAGCCCAAGAGCAGGGCATTAACTGTCTCCCTGATGCCCATAAGGGAGACGCCAGGCAGAGCAGAGACATTGGAACCAAGTCCCAGAGCCCAGGTTTCAGCCTGCGGCAGTCCCATTCCAGACCCCAAGTTCTTATGCACGAGCTGGGTTTATGGAGAAAAAAGAAAAGGCTGAAGCAGAGATCTGACCTGGGCCTCAGCCCCAGGAGGAGTGAAGCCTGTAAACAGGGGATTGTCCCCCACAGCCGCTTCCAGACTGAGGATGCTGCTAAAACACATGATAACTAACCCTTCACCAATAAAACTGCATCCTCCTGTACTTGTTTGGATTTCAATAACCTTTCTATTGTAAAAGCAGTTAACCACGATAAAGTTTTGAGAAAAAAATACCATTTTAAAGCCCTTCCAACTCCCATACATTTTCATTTTTCTGGGCTATTCTGTCAGTTTAAGTTTTACACAGTTGTCAGCCCAGCAAAGATGTCCTCATTCTTTTTTTTCAGCTTTCAAGTCGCCAGGTATGGCGGCTCACACCTGGAATCCCAGCACTTTGGGAAGCTGAGGCTGGAGGATGGCTTCAGCACCGGAGTTCGAAGCCCTGGAGCTTGTCATCAGATAACGCAGGTTATTTCCTGCTTTTCACGATAAAGATGGGAGTGCAATGGAGCCTCTTCACTCTGTGCATGGGTGAAATTTCCTGATACTGAATTGCAGAAGCATGATTACCAGTTCATTTTCTTGTCTCTTTAAACATTGCCAGTTCTTCAGTTTACACAAAAGCACATTTCACCTCTACTTTACAAGCACAGATGTACACATGTATGTACACACATGCATATATGTGGGTCTGTATAAACACGCAGAGGCACATACGCTTAGACACTACACATACAGATGTATTTATTCCTACATACTTCTCCAGTACACCCTGCAGGTCAAGGACAATGCCTGCCCCACCCTTAGTCCCACTCAAAGGTCAGCCCTTAAGCAGCTGTGCCTCAGTCCCGGTGTCCACTGGCCAGTTGATTGAACCACCAGTGAATTCAGAGACCAACCTTTGACCTGTGACGTCATCTGCCACAAACAGGAGTGTGGACAAGAGCTGCTGAGACAGGGAGGCTGTGAGCTGCAGGCACTGACAGCAAGGAGGCCCAGAGAGAAGCCACTGGGCAGAGCTTGGTTCACGGTGAGTCAAGGTTATGGGGAAGCAGCAGAAATACAAGGACCAGAGCCAGGGTGCAGAGGAAAAGGCAAGACAGGTCACAACGAGGAGAGAACAGAGCAGCCTGTGTGGGGTGGTGAGGGTCACCAGCCTGGGCACTGGAGTGTCACTCTGCGGACTGGCTGACACATGGGGACAACCTGGGGCCCAGGGCAGCCCTCCAGGCTGCATGTGTGGCTCTGTCCTGCGATTCCCTGGGGAGCCCTGGCAGCGTTGGGGCCAGAGGGGCCATCAGTCCTGCATGCTTTGCTCACTATTTGCTTCTGTGCAGCTGTGTTCAAGGGTCTTACGGGGGTCTCCCAGACACAGGATAGAATGTCACATTAGATCAGTTACACCACAGACCCTCACAGAGCCCCTGTGAGCCAGGCCTGGCTTGGGTGCTGGGAACCCCTCTGTAGGTCTCACAGGCCAGGTGAGCCTGACTGGGGACTCGAAGTAGCTAATCCCAGGTTCCCATTTTACAGAAGCAGAAACTAAGGCCCAGAGAGAGCAGCAACTGTTCAGGGTCCCAGACCAAGGTGGGTCAGAGCCAGGATTATCATATACTTTCCAAGCAAATTGCAGGGGCCTGGCTGGGTGTGGCTCGGGGAGATGGGGGTGGCAAAAGGGGACTAACAGCAGGTCTAGGTTCAGAGCCCTGCATCTGGCAGGCCTGGAGAAGCTCCCCCACCCTACTCCTCTCCTTCCTTTTAGTGCTTGAGGAACACAGTGAGGAGCTGATCTGTTTTCCTGTTGTTTTTAATTAAAGTCGCAGCTCTCTGGAGGAGCACAGTCCACCTAGGGAGGAAAGTTGGAGGCCAGCAGCAAACGCCTCCCAGCGCTGGGTAAATGCATTCCTGCGGTAACCGACGTCCCCTGGGGAACCCGGTGGGACCCCCTGAGGAGTGCACCCCCCCCAGATCCGGGTCCCATCAGGGTGCTACCTGCTGCATGGGCCTGAGGTTCGGGCACACAGCAAAGGCACACCCCGTGCTCTTTCTGACGTCGTCCACGGTCAGGCCCTCCCAGAGCTCCGTCAGCGTCAACCCTCTCTTCCTGTGCACGTCAAACACGGCCTTCTCGGTGATGATGCGGTCCACGCACTGCTTCCCGGTCAGTGGCATGGTGCATTTCTCCATGATCTTAGGGATGTTGTCCTTTGTGCAGTGCTCCATGGTGACCACCACTCTGGTCTTCGGACTGGACACCAAGTCCATGGCACCGCCCATGCCTTTCACCTTCTTGCCAGGGATCATCCAGTTTGCCAGGTCGCCGTATCTGGAAACCTGCATGGCTCCGAGCATGGTTAGGTGGAGGTGTCCCCCTCGGATGATGGCGAAGGAGTCGTCGCTGGCAAAGAAGCAGCCCCCGGGAAGCACCGTGACGGTCTGTTTGCCTGCATTGATGACGTCGGCATCCACCTCATCTTCCGTGGGAAACGGGCCCAGGCCCAGGCCCAGGATCCCGTTCTCTCTGTGAAGATGCACGGTCATGCTGGGGCTGATGAAGTTGCTGGCCAGCAGGGGGATGCCTATGCCCAGATTGGCGTACTTGCCGTCCTCAAATTCCAGAGCTGCGCGTCTGATGATGCGCATCCTGGCTTCCTTTCTTTTCGCCGTCTCCATTTTCCTCTTTCCTGATGTCAAGCGCTCAATTCGTTTCTCGTATTTCTACCCCTTTATCACACGATCTACATAAATGTTTGGAACGTGGATGTCTTCTGGGGGAAAAGTCCCCACATCCACGATCTCTTCCACCTCCACCGCCGTGACGTCTGCAGCTTTGCACATGGGCACGTTGAAATTGCGGGCGCTCCCCCTGAAGACCACGTTTCCTGCCCGGTCGGCCTTCCACCCTTTCACCAGGGCGAAGTCCGCCCGGATGGCGCGCTCCAAAAGGAAGTGGTCGCCTTGGAACTCCCTCACCTCTCGGGGCTGGCTCATGATAGCCCGGTGGCCGTCTGGGGTGTAGCGGATGGGGGCGCCCCCTTCCTGGACCAGGGTCCCGTAGCCCGTGGGGGTGTAGAAGGCGGGTACCCCGGCGCCCCCCGCGCGGATGCGCTCGGCCAGGGTGCCTTGGGGCGTGAGCTCCAGCTCCAGCTCTCCTGCCAGGTACTGGCTCTCGCACAGCGTGTTCTCACCCACGTAGGAACAGACGATGCGGCGGATCTGCCTGGAGGCCATCAGGAGGCCCAGGCCGAAGTCCTCCACGCCCACGTTGCTGCTGACCACCTGCAAGTCCTTCACGCCGGTCCTGAGCAGCGCGGCGATCAGGTTCTCGGGGATCCCGCAGAGCCCGAAGCCCCGACCTCTGATGGTCGCCCCGTCAGAGATGTCCTTCACCATCTCCACCGGGTCCGTGTAGAACTTGGCGCGGGGCCGGGACTGGTGGCAGAGAGGCGAGCGCAGCCCTGGGACAGCGCGAGCCCTGAGCAGCCCCGCCGGCGGGGACCCCGCGCCCGAGCGCCGACGCCAGGAGCCGCAGCGCCGCCATGGTCGGCGCGGGTCAGAGGCCAGGAGAGGCGGTGTGCGCCCCGCGTGCGCCCCGGGGTCCGCGTCGCAGAGCAGGGAGGGCGCCCGCGCCCTGACGCACTCCCGCCTAGCAGGTCTCCCCCGCCAGGCGCAGGCTCTAGGCCAGGCCCGCGACCCACCACAGGGAGGGGGCCGCTCCTCCGCTCCGCCCTGGGCTGGGGAGGAGCCCTCGTGTCAGTCCTCCGTGTCCAGCGCACAGGCCCCGGGCGCAGGACAGAGTTGAGGTCAGGCTCCGCGTGGAGGGCACCAGCCAGATCCCCTCCTGCCCCAGTGGAGCCTCAGGCACAAACTCCAACCGCCCCGCCCAAGCTTCCCCGCTCATTAGAGACACCAAATATCTAATGAGCAGGCACTGCTGGGTGAGACCGACGGTCATGACCACCCTCACTGGGCATCACTCTGTGCCAAGCACCCTCCTTTAATCCTGTGACAACACGGAGAGTGAGTGCCCCCCCCCCACTACAGCCCCCCAGAGCTCAGGTTCAGCCCTCACTGTGAGAGTGGGGACACTATCCCTCACCTTCATCAGGAAGGGTCCCCGCTCTGAAGAGTCTCCAGCCTTGTCCTCTGCATCTCCCTGCCCTCTCCACCTCCCCCACTCCAGCTCCCTGCTCCAACTTGTGCGGAATTTTGCAGTTTTCTTCCCTCTGCACAGAATCACTCCATCACCACAGCAGGGTGCAGGTGTCTCCTCACCTGTAAAGGACCTGCCTTGTCCCGGGTTCTCTCCAGCCCCAGCCCATGTCTCTGCTCCCCTTCCCCAGCAAAGGTTCTGGAAAGAGCTGTCTCCTGCCTCCACTGCCTGTCTCCCTCCACCTCCCCAGTCAGACCCACACTCCACGGAGATTTGGGCCATCAGCAACCTCTGTGATGGCAAAACCCTCGGTCACTTCTCTGTTCTTGCCTTCAGTGCCCACAGCTGGACACAAACGACAAACCCTTGCTTCTGGAAACACTTGACTCTGGCATCTTGGTCACCTCGTCCTCCAGGTGTCCTGCTCCCTCCCTGGCTGGTCTCTGTGGGCTCGCTGTGGCCCCTCCTTGTGAGGTCTCTGGATGTTGGAGGTCCCACTGCTCTGGGCCAGGCCCTCTTTCTTCTCCATCACTACCTCCTTCCCTAGATGATCTGGTCCCACCCCACGCTTTAAATCCACTTACATGCCAGCACTTCCCTCGCCTGGGTCTTCACGCTCACCTGTCCCTGGAATGGCATTTCCATGAGGACCAGTGAGCTCAGTAACATCCCAGGGGGCTCAGTAATATTCCAGCCAAAAAAGAACCCTTGGCCACACAACTCAAATGTGCCCTTCATCTATCTTTCCCCCAAAAGAGAAATCTATTGAAAAAAATCCACTGGTTCCATCCACACATCATTCAGGCTTCCTCCCGTTCCCTCACCTCCTCGCCAGCTATAAGCATGTCCTGACACTGAAATCGACTCATCTTTCTCCATCTCCACTGCTACCAACAGGCCGCTCACAGCGCCCACCTGCACCACTGTGGGGCCCCCACGAGTCTCTGTGACTTCACTCTTGTCCCTCTCAGTCTGCTCTCCCCACTGAAGTCAGGGGGTTCCTTATTTTATGCATATATTCAGTAAAGTTTTAATTTTACAACAGTTAATAGTTACATAAAAATTTGCAAAGATAGTACAGAGGCTGAGGTGGGAGGATTGCTGGAGCCCAGGAGCTGGAGGTTACCGTGAGCTGCGATTGCGCCACTGCACTCCACCCTGAGCAACAGAGCCAAACCCTGTTTCAAAGAAAAAAAAAACCACACAAGGAGTTCCCATATACCTGGACCCAGTTTCCCCTGGGAAATGTTAATAGTTTAAACTAGTAGGGTACCTTTCTCATAACTAATGGACCAGTACTGGTATCTTATTATTAAGTAAACACCATGATTGATCTGGATTTCCTAACCTTCCCCTAATGCCCTTTTGCTGGTCCAGGATTCCACCCAGGACCCCACATGCACTGAGCTGGTCGTCTTAGGTGCCTCTGGGCTCTTCCAATTTCCCAACCTTCCTTTTTTTTTGATGAGCTTGGCGGTTTTGAGAAGTGTTTGCCAGGTATTCTGCGGAACGCCTTTCTCTTTGGGTTTGATGGTCTTCTTGTGGTTGGACTGGGGTTTCGGGTTCACAGCGGGGGGGGGCCTCTGAAGCTCAGTGGTCTGCTCCTTCCCTTACACCCAGTGCACATGCCAGCCCCGTGCCGGTCACTGCAGTGGGGCTTCCTCACCTGGCTGAGGTGCTGCGCGTCAGGTACCCCACGCCCTGTCCACAGGGCACTTTCAGGAAGCAAGTCATTGTGCGGCCCACGGAAGGGGTGGGGAGCTCTGCTCCACCCTGAGAGGGGGGCATCTCAGAGGGTTCTCTTTTAAAACCTGAATCAGATCCTGTCGTCCACCACCGCTATTAAATAAAATCAACGACGCTAAGAACCTCACCGCCTGGCCCTGGTTCACCCTGACTCAGAATGGCCCCTGGGACCCCCGCCCTCACCGCTGCTCCATGGCGCCCCCTTGCCGGGCCTCAAACATGCCCATCTCATGCCCACTTTGGCCTTTGTCTTCCTACTGCCTGGCATAAAAGAGGCTCTCCCCAATTTCACCTGTGGAATGAACAAGGGCATGAATCCCCATCCTACAGAAGAGAAGACAGGGTCTGGAAAGGTAAGTCCCAGCCAAGGTCACTGAGGCAGGGCACTGCCGAGCTGGGCTTCAAACCCAGCCTCCTGGCCTCAGTGTCTGAGGATACAGCCACTTCCCCTCCTTCCCTTCCCAGGACAGAAACTCCCAGGGTGGAGGCTGCTCCGTGGGAGGAACCGCCTGCCTCCTGGGAAGCAGAGGGAGAGGAGGGAGCGCCCCCACTGGGCCAGACCTTGTGCCTTGGACCTCAGTGACCCTTGCAGCGGGCACAGCTGGTGAGGCCGGGAGCCCAGGGCCACAGGAAGCTGCTGCCTGTGCTGGCACAGAGAAGCCCCAGGGGCTGCTCCCACAGAGCCCCCAGCCTCACCGTCCTCAGTCTCCACATAGAGGCGGAGTCCCAGGTCCTTGTGACGCTTCAGCAACCAGCGGTCACTGGCTGCTGTGACGTCCAGCACCAGCCAGCCCTCGTCCCCAGCTCGGAGCGTCTGAAGATCCAAAAAGAACAAGTCAGACTCCCTGTGGACACGAAAGAACAATTAACCGGCGGCCGGCACAGCTGCCTCTGTGTCTCCAGGACCCGCTGGGGGCCGTCACCGGGGCATCTCCTACCTGACTCTGCCTGTGCCCCTTCTGAGCCTCATCTCACCGCCTCAGCCCACAGAGGTGTACACATGAGGAAACTGAGGCTCAGTGGTTCAATGAGCTGTTCAAGTCCCCATAGCCAGGATGGCAGGGCAGGGACTTGAAGGCAGGACTGTCACTGGGGCTCTTCCCGCAGTGCAGGGGGCTCGGGCCAAGCATCTTTCCCATCTTTGAGGGTCTCTTTCGGGTCCTCTGGGAAGTGTTCCACCAACCCCCACTCCCTGCTGGGTTGCCTTGACCATGAGACTGTGAGGCGGGCAGGGGCAGGGGCACCTGGGCCAAGGGGAAGGCACCTGTTGGCCTGCTCCTGGACCACCTGGAACATGCTGACGTGGAGGGTCCTGTTGAGCAGGTGGATGCTGGGCACCTTGTAAATCCGGAACTCCGCAGCTGTGACCGCCTCCCCATCTGGGATCTGGGTCAGGTCAAAGCGGAACTCCTTCCAGTGGGGCTCCCGGTGGCCCAGGGCATGATCTCGCTCCACTAGAAGACAAAGCAGAGCTGGGCTGGCGCTCGGAATGGCTCGGACTTTGGAGTGGGCAGAGCTGGTGTGAGCCACCGCCCCCAGCCACCCACCACTCAAGGTGGAGGGGACCCAGGGAGGCCTGGCGGGGCCGGTTTCCTTTTGTGCAAACGTTTGTTCCAGGCTTGGTCCCAGGGAGCAGACAGGGCTGAGAGGCCCTGCAGCCAGGCTCAGCCTGAGCCCTGCACCTGGCTGGTGCTCAACAGACCCCAGGCTCCAAACCCCAAACTCCCATTGCGCCCCTTCTCGGTCTGGCTGGTCCTGGGACCCGGAGATGAGACAGAGGAGGGAGCCTCCTCTGGGAGCTTCCAGGCTAAAGGGAAGATGGACATTGGACCCAAGGCAGAAAAGGGCCCCGGCCCTGCAGGGAAACCTGGTAGACAGGGACAAAACCGACATCACTGAAGGCATCTCGGGGGACACGAGCCATCCAGAGCCTGCCCACTGCCTGGATGGGAGGTGTGGCAGGGGAGGGCTCAGGGCTGACAGCTGAGCTGGGCTGAGGCATGAGTGCAAATCTGCCATGGGTCAGGGAGACGGGCCCTGCAGGGGCTGGCCAGCCAGGGCAGAGGGCCAGAGCAGAGGGGCCTGAGGGCAGGGCAGGGAAAGCAAGCACCAGGAAACAGCAGAGGGCAGGAGACTGACGTTTCCTTTCTGGAACAAGGTGGAGGAGGAAGGAGGGAAACGTGGAAAGGAACAAGAAAAACCAGGGCAGGAGTGACAACTCCCGGAGAGGCCAGTCAGGTGCTGGGGAAGTCGGAGGGTCTCACTGGGTGATGGGATCTGAGCAGGTGGCATCTGAACTGGCTTTGAAGGGTAGGATGGGGTCTTGGTAGGTGGAGAAGGTGGCGGGGAGGGTGCTCTAGGGAGAGGGGACCTCACATGCGCAGGGGTGGAGGCGCCCACAGGTCGGCAATGCTGGGGACAGCACATGAGCTCTGCTGCGGCCTGCCTGCTGAGGGTGCCAATCCCGGGCCAGGAGCCTGGGCTGCGCTTCTGGCCAGTGGGGAGCACAGGGGATGGGGGCAGCAGGGGGGCGGCGTGGGGGGCGGGGAATTAGAAGACACGGTGGAGGCGGTGGAGGCGAGGGTAGAGGCCAGGCTGGAGGTGAGATGGGCGGCAGGGCCCCGTGGCGGGGGCTGGCCTTACAGTCAAACAAATGCCACAGTTGCGGAATAAAGCCCACATTTCCCCAGGTGTCCGGAAATACCCAGGATGCTATATTTAGAGCAGTCTCACTTTAGCCTCCTGTCCCTCTCAAACTCTAGAAATCTGCGTTTCCGGAAAGCAGGGGTGGGAGCCGCCCAGTGCCTTCCCCAAAACCCAACACTGAGATTTCAATGATATGTTTGTGAGTCTTTTTAAAAATTCTCTCTGGTTACTGGGCTCAGTGACCACAGTCAGGTTTGGAAAAGCACCAGGCTGTGCGGGCCGAGGCGGATGTGGGGAGCACTTCCTGTCCTTGCGGTGGGGACCTGGTCCAGCCATGGGCAGGCGAACAGCTGTGTGGGGCGGGGGATGGGGCCAGAAATGTGTGGGCAGGAGGTGGCCGCTCATCCCAGCCCAGGACGGAGAAGAAAAGAACTTGCCTTGTTCCACAGCACCTGAGGGTGCTGGGCACGCCACAAAACCCCGCCTGAGAGCCGGGCTGCTCAGGTGCCGTGACGCAGGCGACGATCTCTCCCCGTAGGCAGAGATCACTGATGGCAGAGTTCTGGACCTCCTCCCATGAATATCTATGTACGTGTGCTCTCTTCCCTAACACACTCACACAACATGACTTGGGTGACAATTTCAGTGGGTTCAGGATCTGCAGACCCTGCTGTGTTACATGGCTGGGTAAGAATCCCCCATTTGCAAGACGAAATCAGTCCACGCTGTTGGCTGTCACAGGGCATGCAACAGTGACGAGCAGCTCACTCGCGGCTTCTCCTGTCCACTTTCAAAGCATGGCTGTGTGCTTGTGTCCCAGGGCACAGCAGGGCTGCCGGGTGGGTCCTGGGGCTCACTGGTATCCCTGTCGGCAGGCCACATGCTGACTTCATGTGGGATCCGAGGACTGAGGGAACAGCCCACAAACCCATCAGCTCTGTGGGGACGCCCGTGCTCTGTGGCCTCCCTCCCTGCCTGACCTGGGGGTCTACCCAGGCTGACTCAAGAGTTTTGTTCAACTGAACCGACCCGAGTTCCAAACTTCCCCGCTGTGGGCTTGTGAAATCGATAAACCACCCAGGAATTCCAACACAGGAAACTGCCTCCCCTGGCTGTTCCAGGCAAGCCTGGAAGTTGGGAAATTTTTAGGAAAATAATGATTTTTATCAGAAACTGATAAAACTTCCTGGGGTGTGACACTGAAATAGGCATTACCGTGACCGGGTGAAAGGACTGCCCTTTCTTTGCTGGAGCTGTGTGGGTCTGCAGCTGGCCAGTGGTTGTACCTTTGGATAGAAAAGATATTTCTCAAAAGCTGGGGCTGAGGAAGAGCATTTGTTGGGACCCAGATTTTCCCCTATGAAGGTTCGTGGGCAGATAGCCCCTGCTTTAGTGGCTAAGAGAGCATTGGAAGGGTAGATTCTCTGGCCAGTAGCTGGGTTCCTGGCCCCAGCCCTGACCGTGTGAGCAACCTGTGTGACCTCAGTCTCCTTGTCTGCAAAGTGGGGATTCTGTCCTTCCCACCCAGGGCTGTGAACAGGCAGGGGCCACGGGATAGGAGGGCAGCCATGGCTCTGGCGGTTAACAGCTACTTTTCCAACTTAAAGTATCAAAGTGACAAACATCCAGCCAGGACCATCAGGAGGCCATGTCTGAAACTCAGCGGCCATGGTGGGGAAAGGGAGATGTTCAGTTTTCTCTTTTTCTTTTCCTTTTTGAGACGGAATCTCACTCTGTCGCCCAGGCTGGAGTGCAGCGGCACTATCTCAGCTCACTGCAAGCTCCGCCTCCCGGGTTCACGCCATTCTCCTGCCTCAGGCTCCCGAGTAGCTGGGACTACAGCTGCCTGCCACCACGCCTAGCTAATTTTTTGTATTTTTAGTAAAGATGGGGTTTCACCGTGTTAGCCAGGATGTTCTTGATCTCCTGACCTCATGATCCACCCATCTCGGCCTCCCAAAGTGCTGGGATTACAGGCGTGAGCCATTGCGCCTGGCCAGTTTTCTTTTTTTCTAAATAAAAGTGTGGAATGAGAGGAAATACACCATGGAAATCTAGCAGTTCAACTTCCAGGTGCTTCCTTTTCACCTGCCTGACCTTTGTCAAGGCACTTAACCTTCTGGGCTCAGTGTCCACGCCTGCAAAATAACACTTTGAAACAGGGTCAAATGAAAATGATGAAGAGCAAGGTTTGTTGACTGTAACCAGTTCTTGGTTTCAGTCCAGCGAATGCTTCTCCCACACTATTCGGGAACATTTCCTTGTCAGTGAATGCCCAGCCCCCACCTTCCCATAGAATCAAGGTCTGGAATCTCCCAAAGATGCCTGGCTGAGCGGCCACACCTCAGCAATGCCACTGGGACGGTCCCCCAGTTCTGGCTCAGACAGAAAGTACCAAATACAATCTCCTCCCACGTTCCCACATGTGGAAACAGAACCCTGACTCCCCGCTGGGCTCCTTCCGCTACTGTGGGCCACCTCCGTCTGATGCTGTGAAAAGGGGCATAAAAACCATGCTGGAATTGGCCAAAAGCGCTCGAGGCCTCTTGACAGGCCCTCAATACACAGCATGAAATGCCTGCTGCTGCCTCCCAGCGGCTGCTGATTTGAGGGTCCACGGAGGGAATTCCTGGGAAAGGCCTAGGTCTGCACAACGTGATTTCTTGGGTTTTCCCAGTAAAATTCTGCTGCCAGTTGTAGGGTTGGGAAGCTCATTCCAGGGCTCCCTGTCAGATTCAGATAGGCTGGGAGGCCCGTGAGGGAGATGCTGTCTGTCAGGCCAATGTCCTGATCCCAATCATCTGAGATACATCCTGCCAGGAATCCCCTCTCCATGGTGGCCCCGGGAGGAGCCACTGATGTGTGGAGCAAGGTTTCTGGGCAGCACATTTATTTCCCCTATCTGCAAAATCTGGGACAGGGATCCTATTTTTGAGCATCCCATAATTTCACTTTTGGGCATGAAGGAGGAGGTTCTGTCTTTGTTGCCTTCTCATGATCTGAAGGCTTTATAAGAACACTGACTTTTCCTCATTCATTTTTCCTGGTCACAGCTAGGAATATGAATTAATTCATTATTCAGTACATTTTAAAGCAGTACTAATGGTGCACAAGTCATTATTTAGGTGCAGGAGACACTGCGGTAAGCAAGGTGGGGCAGCTCCTGTCCCCATGGGGTTTACAGGCTTGCAGGGAAGTAAGATAACAAACATGAAAGTTAACAAACAAGATCAGCCTATGTGCTAAGTGCTAGGAAGTACACAAAGATGGGGGAACTGGGAATAACGCAGGGAGTGTGGGGGCCGCCTTATTTATGTTTTTAACTGGATTTTGAAATACTTTAGGATTATTTACATCTAAAGAGAAATGGCATGAACAGTGCAGACTTTCCATTCTTTCCCTGATAGCTTCCCCTAATGATAGCTTCTTACATAACCAATCTGTAGTATAAGAAAATCAGGAAATTGGGGGGATGGGTACGGTGGCTCACGCCTGTAATCCCAGCACGTTGGGAGGCTGAGGAGGGTGGATCATGAGGTCAGGAGTTCAAGAGCAGTCCAGCCAAGATGGTGAAACCCTGTCTCTACTAAAAATACAAAAATTGGCTGGGTGTGGTGGTAGGTGCCTGTAATCCCAGCTACTCGGGAGGCTGAGGCACAGAACTGCTTGAACCTGGGAGGTGGAGGTTGCAGTGAGCTGAGATCGCACCACTGCACTCTAGCCTGGGTGACAGAGTGAGACTCCGTTTCAAAAAAAAACCAAAAAAAAAAAAAAGGAAATTGATACTGTTAACTAAATCCAGACTTTTCTCTAATTTTACCAACTGTCCTACTAATATCTTTTTCTGCCAAGGATTCAATCTAGGATCCCATGTTATTGATACATTAATACCTTTAGTGTCATTTCCCCTGGGGCCCCTCTGATGTGACTATTCCTCAGTCTTTCCTTCCCTTTCAACCTTGACGCTGTATTTTTTTTTTTTTTTTTTTGAGACATGGTTTTGCTCTGTCACCCAGACTGGAGTGCAGTGGCACAGTCACAGCTCGCTGCAGCCTCAACCACCTGGGCTCAGGTGATCCTCACAGTTCAGCCTCTAGGGTAGCAGGGACCACAGGTATACCCCATCATGCCTAGCTAAGTTTTTAAAAAATTGTTTATTGAGACAAGGGCTCACTATGTTGCCCAGGCTGGTCTTGAACTCCTGGGCTCAAGCAGTCCTCTTGCCTTGGCCTCCCAGAGTGCTGGGATTACAGGCATGAGCCACCATACCCAGCCTTGATACTTTTGAAGAGTGCTGGTCAGTTATTTGTAGCACGCCCCTCAATTTGGGTTTGTCACATGTTTTCTCAAGTTTGAATTAAGTTATGGATTTTGGAGAATACCACAGAAGTGTGTGGGGGAAAGAGAGATCAGACTGTTCCTGTGTCTATATAGAAAAAGGAAGATATAAGAAACTCCATTTTGATCCGTACTAGGAAAAATCCTTCTGCTTTGAGATGCTGTTAATCTGTAACCCTAGCCCCAACCCTATGCTTGCAGAAACATGTGCTGTATTGACTCAAGATTTAATGGATTTAGGGCTGTGCAGGATGTGCTTTGTTAAAAATGTGTTTGTAGGCAGTACACTTGGTAAAAGTGTTCCCCATTCTCCAGTCCTGAGTACCCAGGGACACAACGCACTGCGGAAGGCCCCAGGGACCTCTGCCCAAGAAAGCCTGGGCATCGTCCAAGGTTCCCCCTACTGAGACAGCCTGAAATACGGCCTTGTGGGAAGGGAAAGACCTGACCATCCCCCAGGCTGAC